TTAATTTCTTCCATTTTCCATTAATTTCTTCCATTTTCCATTAATTTTTTCCGTCTTCCATTAATTTCTTCCAGAGGTAAAAAACAAAACAAACCCAACCAGGATTAAAACTCACCGAAGGACTTTCTAGTCTTGCACAGGAGAACTCAAAGCAGCTTGTCTGCCAGTAGGAATCCTTAGAAATTTAGAGGTAACATATTCTAATCAAATTCGAGGGTTTTTTAGTGTATTCTGTTTGTTGTTTCAGGGTTACCCATCAAAGGGACGACGTCCCTCTGTCACCATGGGGTCAGTCGTGTGGGAATGTGGTTAAAAGCTTGAAAAACTTAAACTAATTCATGGCATTTTGGACTGAGAAAAGGGAAGGTTCCTTGCACACCTGCCTCAAATACATCGTCCCCTGGACTGGGCTGAGGATGTTGAACACAAAGACTGTTCCAGTTTGGAAGAGCCTCAAACAAGGACTGGGAATATCGTTGTCGAGGTGAAACCCGAGGATACAGGAGGAGCTGGAAGGGCCGCAACCGGCCCCGTTCCCGGTGTGGAAGGATGGCTGGGAGCTGGATTTTGTGTTCCCTTTGGCTGTTGGATGTTTTGGTGGGGCTCACGGGGGGGCACAGCCTGTTTTCTTGTGAGCCCATCATCCTGAGGATGTGCCAGGACCTGCCTTACAACACCACCTTCATGCCTAACCTCCTCAACCACTATGACCAGCAAACAGCAGCTTTGGCCATGGAGGTAAGGCTGGTTTCTCCAGGAAAATACGTGGTTTTGTCCCTTAGTTAGCAAATAATTGATAAAAAAAACCCAAACAAACCAAGAAGATAATAATAATAATAATGGCCCATCTTCGCGAACGAAGATTTGGGGAAAGGTCTTTTACCTTTCCAGCCTGCACAATGGATTTTTTAGGTGAGACACAGCCTGTGCTGAACTGAGCCCACCCTTTAATCCTAAGGTTCATCTGCCGGGGCCAAGCAAGCTTGGACAATGGCAGTGAGGTCCTCAGGACGTAGGTTTGTTTAGAGTGTCCTTCTCATAGATGGATGGCCACACAGGGCTAACGACCTCCATCAGGCCAGGAGACCGGGATTTGAACCCGTGGTCGCAGCAGTGAAAGTCCTGCACGCTAACCACTAGGCCACCAGGGGTCTCAAACCAAGAAGATACTTACATTAGAAATAAAAAAAAGTCGGTATAATTAATAATTTAAATATAAACCCAAATACCACTTGCATAGGATGTAGTGTAATATATATACTGAGATATTCTGTGACTGCAGAATTTGCCTAATTTAATATAACTGAGTGTGAAATACTCTGGATGTGCTTGCTACTTTAAATGCCTAGTTTATACAAGACTTTTAAGTTCCCTTCAGTCTTAAGGAGTTTCCTTACTTGGTATTCTGTGATATCACTAAAATTGATGGAAATTCGGGATATTAGGCAAGTGCTGCTGTCAGCCTGTTCAAATTTCCATGAGAGATTTGTCCAGATTAGGTTCATTTGTATTTCTGAAGTACTTGTGGTGAATTCACTGTACACTGAGAACTGAAAGAATAATCATGTGTTTTCCTCTTTGAACGCTCCTCCTGACAACACAGAAACTGAATTGAATTGTTCTTGTTAAATAACATAAAGCCTTGGCTTTATGGAGTTTATGCAAGAGTTGAAACCAGATGTGATGGCTTTTTCACTGTGAGAAGAAAATAGGGATTCTTACCCTTAAATTTGCTTTGTTTGGAAGAATTATGGACTTGCAGCGACTCATTTGGATGGTTCAGTGGAAGGTGTCCATGGCTGGGGGTGGAATGAGCTGAGCCTTAAGTCCCCTCCAACCCAAACCATTCTGAGATTTTATGATTTTACTTATTCTCTAACCTATTTTCAACCAGTTTCCTGCTATTTTCATTTAATACCCTTTTGTCCAGCGTTGTGCAATATTGTGCCACAGTTCAGTCCTCTGTGACGCTCGAGATTTTGGAAACCTCAGTTCTGTCCCCCAAGGCTTTTCCTCTCCAAATGGAGAGGAAGATTCTTGCAATCCCGCTGCCTCATTGCTGCAATAATTTTAATTACCTTTCTCTGTCCCTTTTTCTACCCTGGGCCTTGCTGAGAATGTCACATCACTCCGGGTGTGGCCACCCCAGGGATTTATTTATCACGAAAATCACACTTTTTACTGCTAATTACCAACATTAAGTTCATTTTTCTGATTTTTGTTCTGTGTTCAACCCATGGACTGTCAAAAGCCTCACTTTCACAGCTCATTTATGGCCACTGCTGGAAGCAGAGCAGTAATTTATGGACCCTCAGCCTGCGCCAGAAAAACCGGGTGCAATTATTCCGATCTTTGGAAAATCGCTTTGTGCTGCGGAGAGGGAAGGAGATGAGAAGTGAGCGTTGCTTCTCTGCACTCTGTGGTGGAAAACACAACTTCACAGCATAAATTAGCCTGGGTGAAACGCTGTCCTGCTGCAGTTCACACTCTGAAATCGGTGCCAGAGCCGTTCTGAGGCTTAGCACGGGCGCGTTGGTGGTGTGGGGGTGTGGAGCGCTCCCTTTGCCAGTGTAATTAGCATTTAAACCAGGAGTTTCAGTCTGGGGATGGATTATGGGCTACTTCTGAATGGCCCTGGAGAAATGGTGAAGGCTGTGAGGGGAACAGGCCTATTATCAAACTCAAATTCCCCATGCAGGGGCCTGTGTCTCCGCTGCAGAGTTTTGAGCGGGAGGAAAAGACTGAAAATCCACAGGTTTTTCCGAAGTATATTCCTTGTATCAGCTTAGATTGCTCCTTAGATGTGCTCAGGAAGATGGATGTGTTTTATTATTTGGCTTTTTAGACATTATTTAATGTCACAGTCAAATGGATGGAGCGCTCAAATTTTGAAGTGATGGAAATGTGTGAAATCTTGCATAGTGACATTTTTCTGGTGGCATCTCTCAGCTCCAAGCCCTCCCTAATTGCTGCAAAGATAAAATAATATAGCAGGAGAATCAGTGTGATTCATCTTGTGACTCTCACAGTTTTTCAGTGGCACTTTTTCACAGCAATTCCTGCTGAAACCCGTAAGAAAAATTCAGGTTCTTTGTACTGGAAGGGTGCAGTACAACAAGAAGGGAATGTGAAGTGAAATAGGGAACTCTTGTAGCTGTGTTCTTACCATCAATAAATTCAGTGTACTTCTCTTCCCATACCATTGGTTGCTTCATTGAAGAAACTGCTCGAAAACTTATTTATTGTGAGCTTGAAAAGATCAGTAAGTTGCCTTTTTGAGACTTTATGCTGATGTGGTTCCTTCATAATTATAATAAAGGCTGATAAATCACATCAGCAGGTTAGTGAATCATAGAATCACAGAATGGTTTGGGTGGGAAGGGACCTTAAGGATCATCCCATTCCACCCCCTGCCATGGGCAGGGACACCTTCCACTATCCCAGGTTGTTCCAAACCCTGTCCAACCTGGCCTTGGACACTTCAGGGATCCAGGGGCAGCCACAGCTTCTCTGGGCAACCTGTGCCAGGGCCTCACCACCCTCACAATCAAGAATTCCTTCCCAATATCCCATCTCAATCCACCTTCTTTCAGTCTTGATTAAACAAAGGCAAATATTACACTGGGGTCCCTCAGTGCACACCAGTCCCTGCTGGAATCAGTTCCTGTGTATTTACTCCTAGGAAAGATAATTCCTTAAGCTTTCTGCTGTGCCTGCTTTAATCCAGCAGCATTGAAGGGAGGGTTTGCTGCATCCAGGGGCCTGGAGCATTGTTTTACCCCCAAATATCCCTAAAGGAGCTTTCGATGGAGGACAAACACCAATCCAAGCTCTGTTAACATCCGTCCTCTTGGCTGTAGCAGGGACTGAAATGGGAGTTATTTTACATCTAAAAGGGGCAGTAAAGGAGTGATGACACATTAGTTATGACAGAGAATGTAGCTGCGAGATCCTGGGTGTCCAGGGCAGGGATTTTCCGTGGACTGAGCTGTCCAGGCCGGAGCAGAGCTGGGAGCTGTCCAGGGCCTCTCACTTCCTGACTCTGGAGGATCATTCCTTCCATCTGCTCCGAGGTATCTGCAATTTTCTATAACCTGTTAACAGGCTGGTTGATGACAACAACCATCACACGCAATTCCAGTTTCAGGGACGCTGTTAAAACTTCCCTCTCCATGTATTCCCGAGGATGCTGCAACGCTGGGATGTCGCAGCGTTGTTGCTGCCACAGTTCCGTGTGTTACATAAATCCCCAACGAGTCTGTGAGGATGGAGAAGTCAAATTACCCTTCTCCCCCCCAGGGACCTGACCTTGTTTACCCATCTCTTGGATTATTATTGCTACAAAGAATTACCTGCTGTCTCTTTTGCACTTAATATTCCTTTGGCCTTGAAGGATTTGCTTATGCAAGCAGTGGGTTTTATCTGTAGACAAAACATTTGTAGACAAATGTTTTTATCAGAGAACATGGAACTCGGGGCCCTTTTGGAGCCTGGGAGGATGCTCCGAAAGCTTTTGTCGCTGATGAAGAGAAGCAGTTTAATATTGATGATTCCCAACCTTTTTGCAGTTAAATACAAGTGCCAGCACTTCTTTTTCCTTGCCCTGATTTTCGTGGGACCTCGCAAATGATTCTGGGCATCAAAGAGGCTTTAAGGGACGGGAGCCAGACATGGCTGAGGGCTAAATGGGTCCCTCTGAGTTGTCTTTTGGGATTATACTGGAGGTCAGACACTCTCAAAATGAGATGATGCAGCCACCATATGGGCAGGGGAGATAAAGTGCTGTTCCTTTGCACTGTCTCACAGCTCCCATTCCCGTTTTCCATATCAAAAAAGAGCAGCAGTAGGGACTTAGGGATGTAGCCACTGTGTAGGTAGGAGATGAGGAAGGGGAAATAGAGTATTTGGTTTTTTCCAGTGTGAGGGAAGTGGCTGGAAGAGGAGTCACGTTGTATTCTCCTAATCCATCAACATGCCAAGTTTCACCAACTGGAAATCACTGAACTGATAAAAACAAACTACCCAGCAATGAAGATTTTTGAATATTTAGAAGCAGAGCTAGTGAATACTTCATGGACGTTGACACAGAATATGCAGCTACAGATGTGAGGGCAGCTGATTTTTCATATTCCATTTCAAATTCAGTGGTTTTCTTGCCTGTCTTGATGCTTGCAGAGGACGATTCCACTGACCTACCTCAGAGCAGGGGATGTGCTGCAAGGTCTGCATGTCCTTGCTGGCTCTATTTCTGGGATCCTTGGAGCCTCAGTTAATTTTTTTCATCTTTTTTTTTGAGTGGAAAAGAACTGGAGTGTGCTTAAAATGGCACCAACAGAAGACGTAGCTCTATTTATTCCCAGCCTGGTCTTAACATCTGGGATAAGAGGTATTTTTCCAGCAGAGGTAGGTCAGGTATAAAGTGGCTCATTTAGTGGTGTTTCTTTCCTACTGATCAGCAAAGATGGGGAGAATGCAGGGTGCAAAATCCTTAACTTCTTACCCCCTTAATTCCACCTTTATTCCTTTTCACCCCTCTCTCCTTCTCCTCTCCCAGGCGCTGTATCCTTCTAAATGTCACGCTCTTCCTTGGCTTCCTGTATCCTTCAGTTCTGCATCCAAAACTCCTGGAAGTATAAGCATATAAAGCTCATGAAAAAGTGGGTTTTAATCAGCTGGTGTTTTGTAAGCACCCTGATCTCGGGCACTAATTTGCAGCAAGGATTCATTTTCTCTTTAGT